CTCAAACACCATGTTCGCTACATCTTCTAATCATATGCCCATTTTCGTTGGAGAATTGTACGAGTACGGGAGTGCCCAAATGGAACCAATTTTCATCTCACAAGATCTGTGGAATATAGTCCAAGATGGCTATGAAGATCCAGAGGAAGATGATGAAGACTCCCAGAAGCACCCAGACAAGCAAACAAAGAAGTACAAGGAGAATGCCAAGCAAAATGCTAGTGCCTTGAGAATTATTCATCAAGCAGTGAGCAAATCAATTTACCCAAGAATCTATGGCATCTAAAAGGCCAAAGTAGCTTGGGATGTCTTGTGTGAACAATTTCCAGGTTCTGAAAAGGCGATCTCCATCAGGCGATAAAGTTTATGGCGCCAGTTTGACAACTTGATGATGAAGGAAATCGACACCATCAAAGACTTTCATTCGCGTGTGGCAGAGAAAGTGTACCAAATCAAAGCAACTGGTGATGTCATGGAAGAAAGAAAAATTGTGGATAGAATTTTCCGCACTTTATCGTCAAAGTTCGAGCATATTGTTAAATTCATTAAAAGAAACCAAAGATTTGGCAAATCTACCAATGAGCGAGTTGATGGGCTCACTTGTAGCACACGAGCAAAGAATGAGTCGCTTAACCAAACAACCATTGGAGCAAGCTTTCCAGTCAAAAGTCAACATGACGGAAAGTAAATACCAAATCGGAGCAAGGTGGAAGAGGGGGAAACTCACAAGGAAGAGGAAGAGGAAGATCCAATTACAGAGGAAACAACGACAAAATTATCAAGAGCAAAACTCGGGCAACACCAGCTCGAGTTGCATAATTTGTAAAAAGACAGGTCATGCAATAAAAGATTGCAGATTCAAGTGCACCAAGTGCAAAATTCAAAACCACTCCCAAAGAGATTGATGGTTCCAGAACAAGCAAGAAGAAGGCGAGTCAAGCGGCACCAAAAATGAAGAAAGCAATATGGTGGCCTTATCATGCTTGAATGGTGAGCAAAAGTCACAGCTTCCCTGGATGGTGAATAGTGGTTGCAGTAACCACATGACTGGAGATCTGGAGTCCTTCACCGACATCGATGACAAATACCGCTCTCAAGTCAAATTGGAAGATGAAAATAAGCTAATAGTGGAAGGAAAAGGCACAGTTGTTGTATGCACAGATGAAGGTAACAAAACTCTCATACGAGACGTTTTGTATGTTCCGAAACTAACTCTCAATCTACTTAGCATGGGACAACTGATGCTGAAAAATTACAAGTTATTGTTTGTTAATGGCATGTGCGAGATTATCAACAAAGCTGATAATTTCATGGTGGCAAAAGTCCCGATGACTTCCAACCGAATTTTCTCTCTTGCTATGTCACAAAATGGTGAAGTAGCATTCAAGAGTGAAAATCTGGATCACTCCTTCCTATGGCATCTCAGATATGGTCATCTCAACTTCAAAGGTCTCATATTACTGAGGCAGAAAAATATGGTGGCGGGACTTCCCCAAATCAATAGAGAAGACAAAATCTGTGAAGGATGCATATATGGCAAAATGCATGTTTACCATTTTCAAAGACATCTTGGAGAGCAAAAGCGCCACTAGAGTTGGTACATGCAGACATATGCGGTCTAACCATAACACAATCACTCAGCAGTAAAAGGTATTTTCTACTATTTGTAGATGACTTCACCAGAATAATGTGGGTATTCTTTCTAGAGCAAAAGTCAGAAGCTTTTCCCAAGTTCCTTCAATTTCAAGCAGTAGCTGAGAAGGAAAGAGGCTATCAAATCAAAACTCTACGAATAGATTGTGGAGGAGAATTTATTTATACTCCGTTCATGGAGTATTGGCTCAACAACGGAATCGAAAGACAGCTGACTGTCCGTTACACACCACAACAAAATGGCGTGGCAGAACGAAAAAATCGCACTATTGTGGAGATGACGACAAGTATGCTCAAATCCTATAATATTCCCAACAACTTGTGGGCAGAAGGAGTCAACACGACAATTTACATCCTCAATAGATCACCTACCAAAGCAAATCGAAACAAGACACCGATACATGTGTGGCATCACAGAAGACCACAGGTGGATCACCTCAAAGTCTTAGGGTGCATAACTTATGCACAAATCTCTACCCAAAATCGAGACAAGTTTGACCAGAAAGGAGAGAAGCTGATCTTCACCTGCTACAATGATGAGTCCAAAGGCTATCGTCTTTACAACCCAGTAAAGAACAAAGTGGTGGTTTCTCGAGATGTTATCTTTGATGAGATGGCGGAGTGGATTGGGAAAATCCAATTTCTCAATCTCCACCTAGTTATGAAATTTTGGAGGAATAAACAACTCTAGTAGACCCCAGCAATGACCCAGATCCAGTTCCAAGTCCAAAAAGAAATTTTGCACCCAGCCCAGAAGGAGACAACTTCAGAGATGTCATAACAGACTCAGATTCACCTTCGTTAAAAACAAGGTCTTTACAAGAAATTTATGAAACAAGTCATGTTGCATATATTTCTTGTGAACCTCAAGTCTTTGAAGAAGCATCTAAATATGAAGTTTGGAACGAGGCAATGGAGGGCTTGTTGATCAACTGGAGGGCAAGCCGGTTATAGGTCTAAAATGGATCTATAAGATCAAATTCATTGAAGATGGTTCTATCCAGAAGTACAAAGCTAGACTGGTGTCAAAGGGCTATTCACAACAGCCCGATATTGATTTTCACGAGACATATGCACCAGTAGTGAGGATGGAGACCATCAGAACAGTTCTCATTCTTGCTGCTCAACTGGAGTTACCAGTATACCAGCTGGATGTCAAATCAGCATTTCTGAACAGAGAACTGGAATAAGAAGTATATGTGGAACAACCAAGAGGCTATGAGAAAAAAGGAGAAGAAGACAAAGTCTACTGTCTCCAAAAGGCTTTATACGGGCTAAAGCAAGCATCGAGAGCCTGGAACAACAGAATTGATCGATATTTTCAGCAAAACAAATTTCAAAGGAGTCTGAGTGAAGCATCTCTCTACATCAGAAAGGGAGAAGCAAAAGATTTTCTAATGGTGTGTTTGTATGTTGATGACTTGATTTACACAGGTACACGTCACCATATGATAGAAGATTCAAAAGTACCATGATGAAAGAATTCGAGATGACGGAGTTGGGGCTCATGAAATATTTTCTTGGGATCCAAGTGAAGCAGTCACCTGGAGAAATTTTCATTTCACAGGAGAAATATACTGAAGATATGCTGAAAAGATTTCACATGGCAAACTGCAAATCAGTCTCAACATCGATGGTGTTGAACGAGAAATTGCAAAGCATGATGGAGCTGAAAAAGTCGATGGAAAGTTGTATAGAAGTCTTGTCGGGTCACTCACCTGATACATACCAGGCCGGATATTTGTCATTCAGTAAGTCTTATATCAAGTTTTATGAATGAACCTAGCAAACTTCATTTTGCAGCAATCAAAAGAATTTTGCGGTATCTTCAAGGAACGAAGAAATTGGGCATGACGTACAAGAAAGAAGCAGAAAGCAAGTTGACTGGATATGCCGATAGTGACTGGGCAGGATCACTAGATGATTGAAAAAGCACATCGGGGTACATATTCTGAGTGGGTTCAAAACCCATTTATTGGAGTTCAAAGAAGCAGAAGACTATTGTCTTATCTTCAACGGGAGCAGAATATATCGGAGCTACAGATGCAACATGCGAAGCGGTATGGCTAAAAAGATTAATTTTTGATTTGCAGCAAAATGGAAATGGTCAAACCATTATTCATTGTGACAACATGTCAACCATAGCCATGACAAAGAATCCAGTATTTCACGCAAGATCGAAGCATATCGAGTTGTGTCATCATTTCATCCGAGACCTCGTCAACGAACGATTAATCGTGATGGAATTTATCAACACCGACGACCAACCAGCAGATATCATGACAAAGGTGGTTACCCGTGAGAAGTTCGAGAAGTTCAAGGAGCTACTCCAAATTGCAAATTAAGAGGGGGTGTTGGTTACTAATTTGCAATAAGTCTACATCTAAACACTTCACATGGTAGGCCAAAACGCAATCAATCAAAGTGGAGCCTCAAAGTTGGTGCGATGATAAGTATAACCACCGAATAATGAGCTGAATTATGAGTCTCCATAAACCACCATATCACCACTTGAAAGACAAGGATCATGCATGGTATAAATTGCATGTACCAATGAGTGGTCATTTCTTCATACATGTGCTACTGTCGTGGATTGGAAGGAAGACAAAGCATTTAAGTCATGGGCCAAGTAATTAGTTTTCCCTTCAATTATATGTATATTATGTACGTTTGGATTGGGGAAGAGCTAGCTTGATATAAAAACAAGCAATATAAAGCTTGTGAAGTGTGTCAGTAGAAGCACGGGCATTTAGAAAGAAAGAAACCAAGTCGTGTCCTGTGTTCTCATTATTTTTGGGGTCACAATAGCCAATAATAAGGCCTTGTTTATTTTGAGTGAATCATAAATTGAGTGATTAAACACCAATTGTTTCCTATGTTTTGATCCAATATTACCATTACTTCCGCTAATACCCAACAGTTTGCTCACTATCATACAAGAACTCGAACTCGGAGCTAGTAATCGAGATGCAGAGGCTAACAAGACAATGTCGAAGCAAAGAGAAAGAGGCCAAAAGTCATGCAACATTATGAAGAAGCTGTGACGACATCGTTGTCTTCCCTAGATTTACTATAATAGACTCTGTAAATAATATTAGTAGGGTGATAACACCATATCTGGTATCCGCCAGGGCGGGAAATCTAGTTACAATTTGTCGTCAAACATTTTACCGCCCAGTTTAAACCGTCTCAATTACGACCGAAAATTGTCCGATTCGGATTCTAGTTGCTAGTGTTTGGGTAAAAAGTTACCAGGTATAACCCGGTGAAAACCAAAAAACCGAGACATGACACAATATCATGACATTAGAAATGAGATCGACTAAAGCGAGTATGTGACTCAACGAGTTGCATTACGCATTCTATTACAATGCATTAGTATTCATCAATCGTGGATCCGGGCTCGGCGATCTCGGAGTAGTGTTGGAGGAGGGTGACAGAGCAAGGTCGAGGATGAGTTCCTGCAACCAACTGGCCGAGTATTAGGCCTAAGTTTGAGCTAGTAGTAACTCACTAATGTCCATTATCCCAGGGGTGGCTACAACAGCATTTCGGTATCAGCATATGCTGTGACAGTTGTGTGGTATTAATCTTGGCCCTTATTCAGTTCATGTACAGAATAATATAGTGTATAAAAATGAAAAAAAGTATAATCCAAGAATACGAAAAAAGATCATTCATTCCTTTGCTATTTTCTTTCTAATATCAGGAACCAGACCCAGAACTGACATCCGACACGAACTTACTGCTTCTCTTAGTAGCAACAAGCGGATTGTCTTCCTCATCGTCATAGATCATCGTCTCTGTTTTTTCAGACGGGTCATGCTTGAAAATCGGATGAATGTAGGCATCATGAAGGTATGTTCTCAAGTTTAGGTTTGGTTCGGTAGCTCGTTCCAGCGTATCCCTGACCATGGCTTCCTGTAATGGGAACTTCACAAAGGCGGATTCGAAGCGGCCTTTGCAGAGCTTGTGGAACCAAATTGTCAAAACAGGGAGAGGGATGAGAAAAGGTGTCAGTTCCTCGGCTCCCTTTGTGCTCAGCAGACCTATTAGGAGCATCTGAGCTATCAGTTGGCCGATAATCAAGCGCCGATGCACATCTGGCCAGTAAGCTGCTCCACTCTCGTATTTTTGGTCATACACATTGATGATCTGCCAACAAGTTATATTTGCGACATGTCAAGTTATTACAAAAATCTTATGCAGCATTTCGTTAAACTGTTATGTAAGATATTAATTGTCTTTCCTAACACAGTACTTTTGTATCTTGCATAATAGTTTTTGAATTTACTCAAGTCACTTAAACATCTCGTCGTAATGATTTCGTAAAGAAAAGGTACATTCTACAGAGCCGATGCATTTGGGAGGTCAACGAATTCAGAAAAATGCAAGGTACCTGATGGCGGAAGATGACATAGGCGAAGGCGAAGAAGACGAGGATGAAAGGGAGCAATAAGGGTGTGACTGCGGCATAAACAAAACCAAGCATGAAATAAAGCTGTATTCGAGGCTCCGATATGGGGAAGCTTATGCAACCAGGGTCCATTGCTTGCTCTCTATCTTGCTCGGTCTTCACCAAAAACGTGTTCTTCAAGTGAAAGATGATCAATGGCACCAACCGCAGGACCTCAGCTGCTATTCCCGACCAACCATCCACCATTATGTAAGTGATGAAGAAAGTGGCTCTCATTGGAATCGATACACCAATTGTTTGTGGGATTCTTGGAGAAAGAAAGAAAAAAGAACCATTCTAGTTAGAAGTTAGAAATTAATAAGAACAACACTTCTTCCATTGAAGGGAGATCAGAGTTGAGTTAAACGTACTCCGATGCAGACTGTTTCATGAATGTTTTCAGCTGCTCCAGTGCAGTCCCTGTAATGATGCTACCAAGGAAGACGTTGACGAGAAGGAACAAGTGATACTTTGAAGCTGCTCGCCTATCCAAAGATGACAGTGAGTGGAATCCTTCTATTTTGGCCATCAGCATGACGATCGTCGGAAGTATGATGAGAAATATTTTCAGAGCGATTCCCGGAAGAAATCCTTGGACTATGGATTTGACGGAATCCCTGCGAGAAAAAAAGTGGACCATGGGAGACAGTTGAAGCATGAAAGAGAGAAGTGCAATAAACTAAGCGTGTGCAAGAGATGATGTTAAAGCAACTTACGCTTCTATAAGACGCTTCAAGAAAGGGAAAACCTTTTCAATCCCCTCGATGGTGGCCAAAGACTGGACAAACGCTATAGGAATGACAAAGAAGAAGATCAAGAAGAAGAGAGCAACCGCCATGAGAAACCTTCGAATAGTATGCTCCACATATGGTATGGCAAGGTTACTCCAGTATACATCACGTGGCTCAGGAGCTCTCTCAGTCAACCACATTGTTGGGTTGCTCGATTGCTGAGTTTGTGCACAAACCGCAGCCGCCCATCGAGATTTGAAAGATACAAATGCTGCTGGAATAACGGCATTAGCATCACTTAGAACCTTTTCCCTTTCCAACTCTTCCTGCATTTGACGTCGAGTGCTTATATTAGCCAAAACAGAGAATATAATTGGTCTTTTGCTTCCCCTCTGCCCTCCTCCAATTTGCTCTTTAAAGAAGCAAGATTTGGCGAAATATCATACATACCTCTTTAATTAACTTATCAATCTCAGATTCATAGTACTCGATTGCGTCCACTGTGCTCCCTATCATACCCCACAGGCCTGTCTACTTCAAGTAAATTAATAACTTGCATTAGAAGCCATCATATTATCGGGGAAATTGTGTCTTGTGAAACAGAGACCCTGCAATGAAGACTCTTTTTTAATTGAATACCTTTGTGGTTGGCCTTGTAGAAGGGTTTCTATCGTATTTGTTCTGATAATAGGTTAACCGATTCCTCATCGCCTTCTTCGCCTCAACCACATCTGCAAGCTTGTTCGCATTGTAAACCACCTATATATACATGTTGAAGTATTACTCACAAACAAATAGAAAATTTATATGTATGTTGGAGCAAGTTGAATTGTGACTATAAGAGTTTGGAAATAGGAACTACCCAAATAAATCTAAGATCTTGGTGGGGGGCTTGATCAGAGATTGGTATTTTCTTTCTCTTATGTATGCCCAGTACTTAGAACGAATCAAAACATCATCAAACGTACCTGGTGAAGGAGATAGTGTTCGGGATGATTAACACAAAAAAAGTGCTCGACGTGATCTGTCACTGATTCATCTGGATCTGCAGGAACATTTCTCACAAGAACCTACTAGAGTGAACACCAAACAAATGAAGGTTCAATTTGGAGCATAAACAGTTTGCTCATAGCAAAAAGGTTTTTCAACAAAGAATGATAATAAGAACTTACGGTGAAGTGGTCGGCACGACGACTTTCTGCAGCCAAAAATTGCAGGCGCATGTTCGCTACTTCCTTGTACTCATGGTAGATCACAAAAAATGTCCAAAACGTGAAGACATATGACATTGATGCATGGGCCCAGAACCTTCAATCATAGAAGGCAATGCTATTATAGATTCACAGTACCTTCTCAACTGAGAGTCATTACAAACACCATTTTTATCTTAATGAAATTACACACCTACACTGCAACAGACTGAACAGAGAAGTAGGGCACATGCAAGGAGTCAGTAACTTGAAGTTCACTGAACCGGGAAAGAGGTTATTGACATTACATGCCAGATTTTATTGATTGCAAGAACATTCCAGTAATTATACTTAACATCAACTCAAGACCAACGGCTATAAAGATATATTTCGCTTAAAAGTTTATCTACCAAGTCAAGGACATTGTACCTAATAGTTTCTGTTTACCTAAGCAATAGGCAGACCAAACTGTAGCAATAGATAAAAATGTGCATCCCAATATCATCCAAGTCTAGAATAAGATTTGGCTATCACAACTCACAAGTAAGCATAGCATTCAAAATACAACTTCAAAAGCATAACGCAGAGATGAGATGACATATCACTTCTTCATATCAACGTGCTCTAACCAACATACTTTCACGGAAACACGAGAATAATATCATTAAAGACACTCACCTTATAGAGTTTTCTGGGATGTTTGATATTGACAACTTGTCGATATCACTGAATGTCAGATCTTTTATCTTATCCAGTGTTCCGCCAGTCCAATTGACTGGGACCAACACCGCCCAGGCGAGAAATGTTATAGGAACAAATATTTTCAACCTGGAAAATCAGAGGCTTCGTCCAAATTATATTATGTTACAATGTTAAGGTGCTTAATTGTAGCTTTGTGGAAGTATAAATGATAAACCAAAGTTGATAATTTTAAGTAAAAGGGATATCAATCTACATACTGAAACCTAAAAGAGGAGGAAGAAGGAGCTACCCCATAAGGTAAATCCGTATATAGACTACAGAGTCAAGTCCAGCGTGATCAATAAGTTCAGGTTCTGGCATCCGCAATGCTGCAGGCATCCAGTTCAAAAATCTTATGTAGGTTCTAGGATCCAGATTCACAAACTTCTTCATAAATCCTCCATGGTGTGTTGGGCTCCCTCGTATCCCTTTGAGATACCATTTAGGGAAGTATACTCTGTCGTTCACCGGCTGAAGCCTTAGCATCGCAAATGCGAAGAGAAAGGCAATTGCGGATAGGAGATTGATAGCTGCCGAATAACAAATGTCTTCAAGGGTAGCCATTTCTGACGCTCAAAGCTCAAATCCTCACCTGGAACCCAAATCATTAGGAAACAAGTTATTCCTTCGAATAGGCTGTATCGACCCTAGTTTGCAACTGACCACTTCTAGTATTCCCACCGCAATCAGATTGTTTTTAAGCATATGGATTGTCAAGAAACCTTAATTCCCAAAACTAGGCAGCTTAAACGTAATCCATTCGGAAGCTAATCACACGAAATTTCTCTAAGCAAAGCAGCGGATGTTATCACCACTACCACTTGATAAATTTTAGTAAACTTAGGGTACGGGATGCAATCGGAGTAACTTAGATTCATAGGCCTAACACTAACCCATGAATTGCTCTGACTAAGCAATCGGTAAATAATGCCTCGTGTGACTTCCAAAGAAAAGAAAATTGATTTGCATGCAGAGAATTCCGGCGGCCATTCTTTTCCCTTAGAAGCATGATCGGGCAAATCTCTAGAGCTAAAACGACTCGTGGAGTTCACAGATTTTTATTGGAAAAGAGGCACAGAAGTAGGCAATGAGAATTAGAAAAGAAGGAAAGTACCTGGAAAATGAGCGCATCGCCGGCGGCGGAGGAACCGGTGAAGAGGGCTGAAAAGCAGAAAGGGATTGCAATGCGACGAAAGAAAATCTATTAAATGTCGCCGTGAAAAGGTGAGAAGTCGATATCTGGAGGTGAGGCGGAATTGTTAGGTTATTGTCCCGATCCGAGGTGTGTTGGTGTGTATATATCGACGGCGTGAAGGTGACGGAGATGCCGAAAGGTGGTGGAGGGAGCCGGCAGCACCACAAAGTATATAATATATGCCCGTGGGCTTGTTTTTTAACGGTATTCAGTTTGCCGTAGACCTCTAGTCTGAAGTTTTTCTTTCTCCCTGCCTTTCCGAAGATTCGGCTATGCGTCGTTACTCGTTCGACTCCCTTTCCCTAACAATTAAAGTTAATTAAAGTTATTGAAACTAGTAAGACAAAAATATCCGTGTATACTCGCACGAATCCGGCCTAATTGGGTAGGGTAGAACTCCAACCCTAAAAATATTTATTGGATACGGGTAATACTCAAATCCGAATATTGTGGATAATGGGTGGACATGAGTTTCTCACTATCCAACCCGAACCCGCCCGATTATACATATGCATAAGTATTTTGTCTAGAAATAATCATTATTTTCTCTAACATATTTTATATTTAGGATATAAATATAAAATTTTCATGTAAATTGTGTTTTTTAATTAATTTTCTTCATTCTAGTGAATTATTGTCTTACTTTTCCTATTATGTAATGTGAGAATACGTGTGATTGTTAACATATTGGTTGGAGTTATGAAGAGAAATTATTACCCATGGATCTCGAAACCCGAACATGTATGGGTATGGTTTTGATTTTCTACCCATTTCACATGTGGGTATGGGTGTGGGTAAAACCCGAAATACTTTGGGTAGGGTAACGAATATGCACTATCCGCCCCCGACCAGACCCATTACCATCCCTAGAAACTAATTGGTTTATAATATGATATCAAAATTGGTTTGTCCTTAGAGTTACATGTTACATTCCTCATGATACTCAATTAACCTTTGTTTTTAAAGTACATGGTATGGCATATTGGACAAAGTTGAGTCGTCATCAACTTAGGGGTGTTCAAATATTTATTATGGTAATTACCATACCAAATAAGCATAACTTCTATCAACCATAGAATACAATATCATAACCAAATCGTCCAAACTAATACAACAACAAAATTAACCAAACTAAACTAATTTGTTTGGTTAATTAGTTAACCAATATAACATCACATTATCATTAAGTGAGAAACTTTTCGGTTAGTGAATTCGCAATTTATATAATGAATAACACATAACAACCAACACATAATTATAGTTAACCCTTAACATAAATACATGTAACAAATACAATTATCTTACATTTGACTCTTGAATGGTTATGCAAAGTATTAAGTACGTGTATATAATATATGTTAGATATATGACTAATTATTTAACTGGTTAATTTGGTTTGATTGGTTAGGAATGTCTGAAACCAAACAAAACCACCAAAACCAAACAAGCGAAAAACTTTAACCAAACCAAACCATTATCCAAATTAACCAAACCAAATTATCCAAATGCTACTAGTTAAACCGGTTACCACGGTAACCAATCTGCTTGAACGCCCCAAATCAACTAAGCCCGCGTCTGTCGACAAGTCAACCGAGTCAGCCCATGTATCACATGGCTCGCCCGAGTGTTGCATGGCCATGAGGCATCTTACGTGTACTAGGGAAAGTTCCCTAGATGATTTTAATCCCTAGCTACTAAGTCACATTGTATAAGTAGTTGTGTACAACCAAGTTGGTTAAGTAAGAACCAACTAACAAGATTAGAAGCTGGAGAGGCTCATCTCTCACGTGGACTAGTCCCGATCAATCGGGGATACCACGTTAACTCTGTGTCTCTCTTTTTTACTTTTTGTTCTTTGTTTGTTCAAATTATCATGGAATCAAAGTGCTCGCTCTAGGTTATCTCTGTGTTTTGTGGATTAGGTCATCACCATGAGCGATTCCGAAGATAAGAAGGGGTCGGGTGATCGTAAGAAGCCAAGAGATTCCCGATGGGTCATCATCTAGCTCGTCGTTCGTCATGGACCCTTCATCGGCACTCGACCTCCATCCTTCAGATAGCGTAGAACAACAGCACGTCGGGGACGTTCTCACCCCTACCAACTACATCGAGCGGGTCATTGATATGACAAACTCTCTCATCGTCAAGAACAATTTTGGCTTTGTTGAAGATTCTTTTCCCAAACATGATGATGTGCCCAAAAATGGACCCTGGATTCATTGTCAAAGGCTGACTTCGTACTTCCATGAACAAGGAAGTTCGTAGCAGTGTGAGATATGCTAAGACTGCATGGGAGATCTGGTTAGACTTGAAGGAATGGTTTGACCAAGGCACTCTCACTAGAGGATACGAGTTGTGATGTCTTATTTTAGGACTATGGCAGGATCAACAAACAATATCTTTATTTTATACACAACTATGGACTCTATGGGAGGAGGCTTAGTCAATCTACCCGCTAGAGAGATGCAAATGCGGTCAGTGCAAGTGTAGCTTAGAGCGTCAAACGAGGGCACGTGAAGATTGCACCCCATATGTTTGATTTTGTTATGGCCTTGGATGCAGGTTTCAGGGTTGTTAGAAGCCAAATCCTCGCCATGAAGCCACCTTCGTCACTTCTGAGGCCTTTCACATCGTGTCTAACGATGAATAACAGAGTATTTCTTCTCAACGGAAGTGTCCTAGAGCGAAAGCAGTCGTGTTTGCTCCGTAAAGAGACTCCACTCACGCATAACTTGATCAGTCCTCCAGCTCTCGTCCTCGTCCCAAATGCCCACATTGTGGGAAGACTAGAGACCTTAAGGAAACTTGTTATGATAAAATCGTATGACCACCTCGCAACAAGTCAGGGTCGACCGAGAGAGGCAAAAGAAGGCCTTGTCGACAGTGAAACCATCCCGGTTCCTAGTTTTACACTACTTCGGTTGGAGCACTATCATGGACTAACTTATCAAGTGATTCAAAGATATCATCCTCTATTGAGAAATTCAAAACCATATCTTGAATTATCAAATCTCATGCACAACACATCTTGCATCTATCCACTACAATCCATCCATTTACAGGTAACAAAGAATAGTTTAAAGTACACGACTAACTTGTAAAGTTCCTTCTGGTAACCGCAACTCTAGGAACACCTATGACACTCATGTGGTAATCCTTTTCACTACAACATATGTTCTCGAACCCTCATACCCTTATGTGTAATCCGAAACTCCTTATGGATCTCTCACACACTAGTCACATTGTGCTATTATAACCTAACTTCGTAGTGGTGTTCAATGAAAATTTTCATATTCCTTGATGATGATGCTTTGGATGCTCAAGCTTGGAATCAAATGTAGCTTCGTGATTGCTACTTATGATGGTGTTTGTGCCCGAAAATCAGATAATGTGTTGCTTCTAAATGGAAACATTAGTTGTCCTATTCTGGCAAAATTTGGCAGCAGGCTGGGTTGCTGCCTGCTCACATGGAGCTTTCTGATTGACTCGCATTGATTATTTTAATGGCTAGCCCGAATTGCTTATTGGAATGGACGGAACGGATTAGTTTCCATTACATCATTCTCCTTCTCCCACTATAATTAACTTTAATGAACACATATAAAATAATATAGTATGGTTTAGGTTTGATGTCTTACGAACGTAATTCTATATAGATTAAGTCTAGTATAAATCAATAAATCATTCAAACTTTCTTTGGGGGGTGGGAGGAGCTGAGAAAAGGAAGAGAGCGTTGGTTTCATGGGAAACAGTTGCTAAACCTAAAGCTGAAGGGGGATTGGGGATCAGAGATTTCAAACTCTGGAATCAATAATGTGTAATACATCATCTATGGAACTTGTTGGCAGAAGCGGGCTCACTCTAGGTGGCGTGGATTCAAAAGTACAAGGTGAAAGGAAGACCTATTTGGAGTCTTCCCTTACTGTCATCTGGTTCCTAGATTTGGCATAAGGTACTCAAATGCAGACAGGTAGCCTAGCAGCACATTTCAGGCTCCGGAAGCACACTCACATGGGACGATAATTCTCTTCCTCGCCATTCTTTTGAAGTGATATGGGATTCAATTAGGCAAGCTACTCCAAGGGTTTGAATGGAATAAAGTAGTGGGGGGTCTCCCCAATATGCCGAAGCATAGTCTGCTTGTTTGGTTGATAATTCTATGCAGAATCTCAACAAAGGATAAACTTACAGCCTGGGGGGTTGAAGTTGATCAAGCCTGTTTACTATGCCTAGGTGGGGAAGAGACTCACGATCATTTGTTTGTTCTATGCCCTTATGGAAGTTTTGTTTTGAGAGCTGTATTGCAGAAGATCAGTTGCGTTCAAGTTACTGTAAGTTGGCAGGAGCATTTGCAGTGGGTTATTTGAGAATGGAGAGGAGATACTGCAGCAGTGAAGCTTGGTATATTGCTATGGAGGATGACTATGAGCAGTGTATGGAAGGAACGTTGTTCCAGGCTGTATGGGACCAAGAGGATATGCCAGCCTGATCGAATGGTCAAGAAGATTAAAGAAGATGTTGCAATTTTCGTTCAGAACCCATGCTATAAAACCTTACAAGGATGAGCCCTTCTAGTGTGCTCTATAGCACCCATGCTATAAAAAAAAAAAAAAAAAAAGGTGACCTGTTGGGGAGGTAAAACCACTAAATGACTGGTCCCACATCATTAATGGCAATCTTGTAAATAATGAATCATTATATGCAAGTGTAGGTACAAATTACAGTTGTACCATATCGTATAGGTACAAGTTTCAGTTGTACCATTGAAGAATTTGTTTCACAAAGTGTAGGTACAACTAAAATTTGTACATAGTGTGTAGGTACAATTTTGAGTTGTACCATCGAGGGATTTGTGAGAAAGTGTAGGTACAACATAAAGTTGTACCATAGGTATAGGTACAATTTTGAGTTGTACCATAGAGGGATTTGTGAGAAAGTGTAGGTACAAGTTTGGGTGGTACCCATAGAAGGATTTTGAGAATGTGTAGGAACAACTTCAGGTTGTACCATTGGTATAGGTACAAGTTAGGGTTGTACCATAAAGGCATTTGTTAAAAAGTGTAGGCACAACTTAAAGTTGTACCACTAGTATAGGTACAAGTTTGGGTTGTACCATAGAAGGATTTTTAGAAAGTGTAGGTACA